AATTATTATGTAAATGATTTTTCTTTTTTCGGAACATAAATGATGGGCCATTTCATATTTTAGTTAGATTGGACTTTAAATTCTAGATAGTAAATTTGTACAGAGAGTTCAAGCCAATTTTTCCATTCTCGCTTTTTCCTTTCTCCGTTTGAGGTAGGGTTTTTCCTCTTCCTCATTCTTGGTTTAAATCTAGATTTTTGCGCTTGTTTATCTTTTAAATTGGAGCTTTATGCAAGGATATTGTTGAATAACCTTTGAGATCATGGGATTCCTCTGGAACTGGTTGAATTTTTGAAATTTAGATGATGAAATTCTAGAATTTAATTTTCTTGATGGTTTAAACCTGAGTTTTAATGAAATACAGTGAAAACTATGTGGGTTTAGATTTCAAAATCTTAATTTGGTATTTGGCAATTGGTTAAAGCGATTTCCATGGGTTATTTTGAAATCACAACTAAAAAAAATTCGGGTTTTTGGTACTTTTCTCGCTAAGTCGGTGAGCTGATTTAGGACTGGAGAACAGCCCTGGTCAACCATTCCAGACAACCGGTGGAATTGTACTTCTCTGTTACCGGTCGACCAGTGACAGCTAATTCCGCCCAAATCTTTTGAAAAATCCGTTTTTAAGCCAAAGTTTACCATATTACTCGAGTTTTAACCATGTCTAAGAATGAGAATGTATTTCTCATCCTTTTAAAAAGTGTTTCAAGGAATTTTGCATTTTGGTGAAGAACACGATTTTCTTGATAAGAGATTTTAAGAAGATTTTTGAAAAGTCTATGAATAAATATATATGGAGTAATCATACATATATGAAAAACCTTCAAGAAAACTTGATATTCGCGAATCATAATTTACGGAAGTGAAATTTTAAAAAAGAAAAAATGTCTTGAATTAGAAATAAATTTGAGCATGGTGTATAAACATGTAGAGCTCTCGGCACTGTTCTGATAAGCAATTCGCCATTGAACATTGACATGATGAGCAATTAGATACTTAGTGTGCTTGATTGCTTGAAGATTAGGATATGCAGTGTGTATCCTTAGGGGCAGGTCCCAGAACCCACGTGAGGTGTATTTTGGCTTAGCACAGCTGTTAGACTTTATGTCTGATACTATTAGAGAGCATTCCAGTTACCGGTGTTTGACTTCTAGTCTTCTCCTATGAACTTCTAGTTCTAGGATGCTTTAGAATTTAAATGGAATTACAAGTACTTGGTACTTGTTGATTACCTGAAGGATTAGATTCCTTGTACTGTTGGAAATGAATTTGAGAAAGTTTTAGTACTTTAAAAATGGTTTCAAAATACTTAGTTATCTGTTTTATTCAAAGATGTTCACACTTGCTGAGATTTTCAGTTTTGAGTTTACCCCTCATAGGTGTCAAGGTTTTGAATAGAGGATTTCAAATATTGAAACTATTGTTTCTAAATTTATTTTTCATTGTAATCCACTCTTACTCTTCTACTGAGCATTCGGCTCACCCCTATTTTAAATTTTGTCCCCCTCTAGAGTTAGTAGCTTGACTAGCAACGTGGTAAGCTAACGCCAATGGAATAAAGGCTCGAGATACAAGGTGGCTTATTATAATTAGAAATTTACAGTTTTTAAATTATAAAGTTGTACTGTATATTTGTATATGATCTGTATTGATCGGCATTGTCCTTGAGATGTGTAAAGCTTAAATTTATGGACTGTTTTAATATTATTTGTAAAAGAAAGTCTCAAGAGCAAAATATCTTGATATTTATGTATTTATTTTTATGATTTTTGTTAAACAGTTCAGTTTAATTAAGTTAATTTTCTTTAATTAAATTCCAATAATTACGGTCCCATCTTTGGGGTTGTGACAGGTTAGGGGAAATTGATTATGTGAATGGGCAATTTTTTTTTTAAATTGGTTATGTTAGTATTGATTTTTGTAAATTGTTATTAGTAGTGAATTTATTAGTTAATTTCCTATTGAGTTGATTGTAGGTGTATGTTTTTGTTTAGGCTATAGGTTATGTGAAAAGGGAATAAAAAGTATGAATTGAAAAGAAAAAAAAAATTAGGTGGTATAGTAAAGAGTTGATTAAAAATAAGAAAAAACAATTACATAACTAAGGACTTAGGAAAACATTAGAAATTTTTTTTTTTCTAGAATTCATATTTACATTAAAATAGAAAAAATAAAAAGTAAAGGATTGATATTTACGTGGAATAAAAAATGAAAAATTATAACAAAGAAATAAAGATGATATTTACATTAAAAGTGAATAAGAAATTAAAAATTAGAATAAATAATTGATATAATTATTGAATAAAAAAGAAAATAATTGATATTAAAAATAAGAATTAATAAATGAAAAAAGAAAGTAAATTGAGTAAATAACAAAATGTGAAATAATAATTAAAAATAATCTAATCACAAATAAAAGCATAAATTTATTAACACTTAATTACAAATTTTCCTTTACTAACTCTAATTTTTCATGTGACTACTTATTTAGTCACAAAAATTCATACGTGTGTGCGATATTTTTTCTTAATCATATTGTATTGACTCAGGAGGGCATAGTGGCAGAGGTCCTCGGAAAGCGACGAGGATAGAAGAAGGGATGAGGATGAGGACGTCGACGACGACGACGCTGCCGCCGCCAAAATTCCCTCCCCCGCCAGGTGCATTTCGACCACCACCCCCACCACCGGCCGACAACAAGGATGAAGACGACGACGCTGCCATAAATTTAGGGAGCCCATTAGACAGTTTTGTTCTTGTTGTTAGGAACCACTTATTTTATTTAATTGTATTAGATATAATATTATCAGACATTTTTCTTTATTTTCATTATGTTACTTGAGCTTGTAATATTATTACTTCTCACTCATGTTTAGCATTCGTTTTTTATTAATTTTTGTCATATTTGATTATTTATTAATTTAATTTATTATATTAAATTTTAATATAACAAAACAATTTTTATTAATCATTTCATATCAAACCTAATTATTAAAATTAACAAATGAACAATATTTAAAAAAATAAAAATTAATTATTTAAAAATTTAATTTCGAAATGTTTAGCGACAACAAAGTAAATATTTTTCTAAAAAATCAAAAAATTGAAACTTTATAGCGACTACTTTTTTGAAAAAGTCATCTCTGTAACTTACAATCAGCGATGACAATTTCAAATATTGTCATCGCTAAAATTCTCACAAATTTTTAGCGACTACGGTACACTTTTATAGCGATGATTAAATAAGACGTTTCAGCGTGATAGTATTGTCGTTGCTAAATACACGTTTAGCGAAAGATATACATCGACGACTATTCAGCGACTACGGTACACTTTTATAGCGACGATTAAATAAGACGTTTCAGCGTGATAGTGTTGTCGTTGCTAAATACACGTTTAGCGAAAGATATACATCGACGACTATTTAGCGATGAAATGTCATCACTAAAAAGTATTTAGCGATGGCATTGGTCGTCCTGTAGTGTGTTCAAAATGTATAATTCGATTCAAATTTATAAGGAAGCAGCCTTATAAGAAAGTGACACGTGACACCTTAGTTGTGCATCTTAAAGTGTGTTCTAAAGACGAATAAACGTCGGAAAGTACTTTGTAATGGTGATATGCAATAACTCCTTACTTCAATGGGAATATTGAGTACTACTTTTTTGGTTTCTTTATAAGTGAAAGTTACTCTCAGCCAGTGACCACAGAGCCACCGGTTGGCTGCGTTGACCCCAAGTCAAGTCTTTTTACATATACAAAGATTCCAACTTTTAATTAATTCCATAAATTCTCACATGCTTTTTCCAGGAAACTCTGGAATAATATTCAACAAATAATTTTTTATGGGAGATTCACACACTTTTACCGTCACCAAACTGAGGTAATGCACGGAAATTGAAATGGTAATTTTACATTTACACTATTATTATAGTTTTTTTCTTTTTTCTTTTTATGCTAAAAACTATGATCATAGTTCAACAGAAATGTACCTGCTCGTGTCTCTTTTTTTTTTTTTTTTTTTTTTTTTTTTTTTTTTTTTTTTCCAGAACTATATTGGTGCGTCAATCAAATAAAAGGACCCACTAGAAGAACTTATGGGACAAATGAGAGTAATACGATATGGAATGAAGCTTGCTCCTTTGTCAAAGTAGTTAAACTTTGATTATTAAAAAAGAGAGTTTCTCCAGTATGTCATCTTACCGGTAGGATCAGTTTTTTTGACCGTAAGATCTGATTAAAATCAAATCATATTAAAAAGATATGCAAAACAGACAAAATCTGATATAAATATGACAGCTGAAAATAATAAAACTACCGATAGTTCTATTTTTCTAGAGAAACTTTCTTAAAAAAAATTCAACTTTGCATGCCAAAAGTATCAAGGAAAATGGGATTTTTCACGGGAAGGGATTGAATTTTTATTTTAATTTTGCTATAATCAAACAATACTAAATTCACTGCTAGTAAGATAAGAAGTGATCAAAGCCGTAATTATAAGTATTTATAAAGAACTCAAACATAATAATAGTGTGATAATACGATACGATGACAATGCAACTATTGTTATTGATCAAGACATAAATTAAAAAACAACTGAATTTTTATAACATTGTCCTGCTGGGCGTTTAAATTATAATGACAAATAACTTATTCGACTGCCTATTTTCAGTTATGAATGATGATCAATTGCAATTAGTAATTCAAAACTAAAAGATGCACTTAAAAGATTTCCCATTCAATGGTCAATTAGGAAAAATCTTTACTTTTTGAGTCTTCTAACCACCATCCACGAAATTACGAGGATTTGTCCCTACTATGGAAATCCATGATGGCACAATGGACAAAACAATTAGACGACATTATTGAGAGCAACAATAATAATAATATGGAAGAGAGTAAAATACTAGAAATTAAGAAAAAGCCAATGTGCCTTATCATAATGAAGTAATGTGTAGGGTCTTGCTTCCCACTACTTTGAGTTCTATAAATACCAATTCCCATGAAACACTACCACCACCTCTGCCTCCACTTAAATCACAAAAAAAAACAGTAGTAGTTGTTAGTCCCCTCATAATCCCTTAAATCAAAATGGAAGGCCCAACATGGGTTTCCTATGCCGCGGCATGGCTCGCCACCATCGCCCTTATCCTCCTCTCCCGCCGCCTCCGCCGCCGCAAACTCAACCTACCACCCGGCCCAAAACCTTGGCCCATTATCGGGAACCTCAACCTGATAGGCCCGCTCCCACATCGGTCGATATATGACCTCTCCCAGAAGTATGGCCCCATCATGCAGCTTTGGTTCGGGTCATTCCCCGTTGTGGTCGGCTCCTCCGTCGAGATGGCCAAGATCTTCCTCAAGACACATGACCTGACCTTCGTTGGACGGCCCAAAATCGCCGCCGGAAAATACACCACCTACAACTACTCGAACATCACGTGGTCCCCCTACGGCCCATATTGGAGGCAGGCCCGCAAAATGTGCCTGATGGAGCTGTTCAGCGCCCGAAGGCTGGACTCGTACGAGTACATAAGGAGGGAGGAAATGAGAGCCTTGCTAAAAGCCCTTTTCGAGTTTTCCAAAACCGAAAAGCTCGTCTTGCTCAAAGACCAACTCTCGACGGTGTCTCTCAACGTGATCAGCCGAATGGTGTTGGGAAAGAACTACACGGACGGGTCGGATCCAAACGCCGTCGTTTCGCCCGACGAGTTCAAGAAAATGCTTGACGAGCTCTTCTTGCTTAGTGGGGTTTTGAACATCGGAGATTCTATTCCGTGGCTCGATTTCTTGGACTTGCAAGGCTACATAAAGAGAATGAAGGCTTTGAGCAAGAAGTGGGACAGGTTTTTAGAGCATGTTTTGGACGAACATAACGAGAGGAGAAAGGGAGTGAAGGATTATGTGCCCCATGCCCAAGACATGGTCGATGTGCTTTTGCAACTTGCCGATGATCCAACTCTTGAAGTTAAGCTTGAAAGACACGGCGTCAAGGCTTTTACCCAGGTACGTATAAACGTTAATGTTGTAATATGATTTGTTTTCTTGATTTTTATGTGGACAAGTTTTTCCGCGTTTATTTCTTTTAAAAATACTAGTATTATTTTTTCTATCACTCTCTATATTTATTGTTTGACACGTAGATTTCACTAACGTAATATATTATTATTTAAATAAATAAAATAAAATAACAAAGTCTATGTATCAAACAACAATAAATGTAAAAAGTGACGAAGAAAACATTAGAGAGAATGATGCAGTCTTTCTCGTATTTTTTTTTTCCCACGAAAGTGCTAAAGTAGCTCGTAATAGAAAAGTCTTGGAGTTCTTTTTTTATTATTATTTTTTTGTTTTAGACACCACTTGTGAGTGTAGATGATTTATTTCATCCGGTACATATTTGGTATGACATTTAAGTATACCATAATATGGACTAATGACAAAACAAAACAAAAATAAACAAAGTAACCAGGTTTCTCACATTATTATCATATTGTGTGAGAATTTTGATACATTATCATGTGTGTAGTGATTGTATCATTACAAATAAATAAATAGATATCTCACACACGTATATAGAGAGTGTGTGTGTGTGTGTGTGTGTGAGGGAGAGATTAGACACTTTGCATGTCTATATATATATATATATATATATATATATATATATATATATATATATGTTTTTTAACTTGATCAATGTTGCTATATTCTGCTGCTCCTTTTCCATTAAGAAAGATCAATTACAGTGCAGACTGCAGAGTCCCCCATAAATTTGATTGATGTAACCTGATAAGTGATCACTAAAGATATAAAGATTGTTAGATCCGTTTTTCGTAATTATTTTATCAAGTTAAATTAATAGATTATGAAAGCAATAAATAAATAGGTTCTGTCAATACTCTATGAAAATTTCTGCTCCAAGTCTGCTACGAAATTGATTATTAACCGAATTTGCACCAAGACATCTAGAATCTATTTTTGAATTTTTTACAGACCTAGACAAAATACCTAATAAAGGTAAACAACGAGTTAAAGACAAAGAAGAAAAGGTGTTTAGACATTTATAGCTTTTAAGATATGAATGGATTCAACACCGACGGCTTGAATATGACATCTCTTTATAAAGATGTGTCACTTGGTTGTTGGAGTTAAATTATATTAGCTCTGTATTACTGAGGTAAAATGTAAATTCCATCCGCAATCAGATTACCTATCTAATTTTTTATATCTTATCTAATTTACGGTGTCCGATTCTTTTTTTTTAATAATTGATTTGTGTGTCTCATTATTAATGATGATGAGGAAAAGATTAGAAAACTGGTATTTGCGGGTCGCCATACGTCGTTTTAAAGCCAGGCCAAGTGGACCACGTCCAAAAAAAAATGGTGGTGAATAGAAAATGGATGCCATTTCTATATATAGCTTAAGGGAAAGGACAAGAAACTGGTTGTTGAATTGAAGTCATGGACCCACAACCAGTTTCTTGTCCTTTCCCTTAAGCTATCCTTCATTGACTAGAATTATCACAACTTTATATTACAACCTTATGCCCCACGTGGACCATGATATGACAACACTACACGTGATTCACAAATATTGTTAAATAGCACCATCAATTATTTAGTCTAATTAACAAATTATTAAATTAATAATGACAAGTAATCAACCATTAGCAACAGATGAAGTCACATACGTACTCTTTGTCGTATCATATATAGTTAGTTATCCAAAGCCCAAAAACATTCTAAACGACATCATTTTGATCACTTGGAAAACATCTATTTCAGGACTTAATAGCTGGTGGAACTGAGAGCTCAGCGGTGACCGTGGAATGGGCAATCTCAGAGCTTCTAAAGAAGCCAGAGATATTCAAAAAGGCAACAGAAGAACTAGACAGAGTGATAGGAAGAGAGAGATGGGTCGAAGAGAAGGACATTGTGAACTTGCCGTACATTGACGCAATTGCTAAAGAGACAATGAGATTGCACCCGGTGGCCCCCATGTTGGTGCCAAGATTTTGCCTCGACGACATCAAGATTAACGGATACGACATTCCGAAGGACACTAGAGTACTAGTGAGCGTTTGGGCTATAGGGAGGGACCCTAGCTTGTGGGACAACCCTAACGAGTTTGTCCCCGAGAGGTTCATTGGGAAGGACGTAGATGTCAAGGGCCAGAACTTTGAACTCTTGCCATTCGGGTCGGGTCGGCGGATGTGTCCCGGGTATAGTCTTGGCTTGAAGGTAATTCAGTCCAGTTTGGCCAATCTACTGCATGGATTCACGTGGAATTTGCCTCCAAATATGAAGAGAGAGGACTTGGACATGAACGAGATTTTCGGGCTTTCGACACCGAAGAAAATTCCCCTTGTTGCAGTTGCTGAGCCTAGGCTTCCACCCCATCTCTATGCCCTGTGATCATGATGACATGATTATGCCGGCCATGGTTTTCAAAAGTACTTCACGTATTAAAAAAATATGTAATTTCAGTGTTTGGCTTCCGGTCGTGATAATCACAAGTGAGCTGAAATGTATGCATCTTGAGATTTGCATTTATGTATAGCTAGCTTTTATTTTGTGCTAGTAGTGATCTAAAGTCCAAACTGTACTTGCTCTAGCTTGTGTACTTACCTTTTAAATAAGAACAACCATCCTTCCTTCTCATGATGTCAAATTGGTTGTTGAACATGATACCATTTTAGTTGGTTTGGCAGTAGCTTTTTGTACAATTTTGGATATATGGAGGAAAATTTTTAATATCACAGGCCAAATGTGGCTGACGGGATCAAGTGCTGAGATCGCAAGTTCGGATACTGGTTTTTGAATCAAGTCCAAAAATGTGTTAAAAGTTTCAATTTCAGCATGTCAAATTGTCTTCATATGTTTTGTGAAAATGAGCCGATCACCACGTATCTAGTTTCAAGTGAGCTATATCGTATTTGTGCTCTGCTTTGTCTTATAAAAATGAAACAACAACAACAACAACAAAAAATTTGTGCCCTGCTTTGCCTTATAAAAATGAAACAACAACAGCAAATTTGTTCCCTGCTTTGCCTTATAAAAATGAATTAACAACAACAAATTTGTGCCATGCTTTGCCTTACACAAATGAAACAACAACTGAAACAACAACAATAATAAAATCTCTCTAGGCTCGGGCTAACTTCACTAGAGTCTCTGGCAGGCGACGCACAATGTGCAAAAAACTATTTTCTCTCGTTTTTTCATTGGCTAAAAGACCGGAAAATCAACATTGTAGTTTTTCAGTTTTAATCCATATTAAAAAAAATAAAGAAAATAAAACTCTATATATGAAAATTATTGGGCTTGTGGCTTAAATTAAGCCCATAAGCATTGTTTTGTTTTTAGTTTGGGCCAAGGCACATATCCTTCCTTATCAGCAACCCTTGTCGACAATTACCTAAGCATATATAATTGATATACGGAAATAGTAGAAAATATGTTAATATGAAAAGCTTAAAAAAGTATATAGGCTAATTTTTAGTTATAAAAATTAATAAGCCATAACTTATTAAGTTATGGTTCATAACCAGATAAGTTATAGACAAATTTGTCAAGTTGTGGTTCATAGCCAGACAAGTTATGGACAAAAACCGTGAATTATGGACAATAACTTGTCAAGTTATGGTTCATAACCAGATAAGTTATAGACAAATTTGTCAAGTTGTGGTTCATAGCCAGACAAGTTATGGACAAAAACCGTGAATTATGGACAATAACTTGTCAAGTTATGGTTCATAACCAGATAAGTTATAGACAAATTTGTCAAGTTGTGGTTCATAGCCAGACAAGTTATGGACAAAAACCGTGAATTATGGACAATAACTTGTCAAGTTATGGTTCATAACCAGATAAGTTATAGACAAATTTGTCAAGTTGTGGTTCATAGCCAGACAAGTTATGGACAAAAACCGTGAATTATGGACAATAACTTGTCAAGTTATGGTTCATAACCAGACAAATTATGGATAAAAACAATAATTTGGCCTATTTATTAACTTATGTAAACTATTAGCCTATTAATTTTAATTCACCTCAAGTCTTAGCCTATTTCCCTCTTTCTCCCATTGATATATGCATGTGGTTTAGCAGTGGCAGCCGCATAAGTGAGATTTGATCTCTTTTGTCATTCCTATTGATACACAGTTTTCTCTTTTGTTTTGGTGTAAGAATATTTGGTCATAGAATTATACTTTGACAGTTAGAGTTCTTACATTTGGGTTGAGAGATTTTGGATGTATTCAGAATTTGGATGGTGAGAGATTTTTTATAGGCTTTTATAATCTCCTTTGGTTATAGTGGAATTTCTTCGCCGTTTTTGTTCGTGGACGCAGGCTAAAAACCGAACCACGTTAAATCCTTGTGTCCTTTAGATTTTTCTGCTATTCATATTTTGTCTTGAATCTGCTTAATTTGACGTTTTAGCACAACAACTGGTATCAGAGCTTTGGTTTATTTGTCAAATTATTTTGGGATTTATGACCTCCACAATGACCGAAAAAATATGAAACCGCAAAATTCGACGGGAAGAATGATTTCAGTCTTTGGCATGTCAAGATGCAAGCCCTATTAGTTCAGCAAGGGTTGTTTAAGGCACTAAATGGCAAGGAGGCTTTACCAGCAACGTTGTCAGATGATGGGAAAGAATACCTCTTAGAAAGGGCACACAGTGCTATTCAGCTATCGTTGGCAAACAAGGTGTAGCGTAAGGTTATTGACGAAACTACTGCTACTGGGTTGTGGCTTAAGCTTGAAAGTCTGTATATGACTAAGTCTTTCACCAATCGACTCTATCTGAAACAGCATTTGTACACTCTTCGCATGTTGGAAGGTACATCTATTCAAAGTCATCTTGATGAATTTAATAGAATTATTCTGGATTTGAAGAATATTGATGTGAAAATTGATGATGAGGATCATGCATTAATTTTGTTGTGTTCTTTACCTCGTTCGTATGAGAACTTCGTTGATACTATGTTATATGGTAGAGACACTATTTCTTTGAAAGATGTTAAGGCGTCTTTGAATTCCAAAGAACTGAAGAAAAAGATGTCTAAAAATTGGGATGAAAATCAATCAGGTGCATTGGTTGTTAGAGGTAGAGAAATTGAAAAAGAAAAAAACAAAAATAGAGAAAAGCCTAAAAATAAAAAAAGGCAACTGCAACTATTGTCGCCAACTAGGGTATTGGAAAGTTGATTGCCCAAAGCTCAAGGGAAATAAGGAAACTAGTGAAGAAGCATCAGCTAATATTGTTGAGTATTTTGAAGATAATGATTATGTCCTATCTGTGTCTAGTGATTGCGTATGCAATTCTTATATTCTTGATTCTAGATGTTCTCCCAACATATGTGCCCTAATAAAGATTGGTTTATTAACTACCAATCTATTGATGTGAGTGTTGTCTTTATGGGGAATAAAATGTCCTATTACGACTTTGACTGATGTTAGACATGCCAGATTTGAAGAAGTCTTGTTTCTTTGGGAACTCTCGACTCACAAGGTGGAGTTCTGAGAGTTAGTAAGGGAGCTTATGTGGTGATTAAGGGAGAGTTGCATAATGGCCTATATTTTCTGCAGGGTAGTACAGTTGTTGGTGCTATTACGGTCTCATCTTCCTTAGATCGAGCTTTTAGGATCACTCGTTCATGGTATTTGCATTCGGGTTAAGTGAGTGATGTGGGGATGTCAGTTTTGACGTTTGTTCATGACTGTGATGGTGTGCAATTTGATGAGAGTTATGGATTCTGTAAGAAGAAGATAGTGAGACATCGTACTATTTGAGATTTGCCACAACAGTTGTTAGTTGCAGATAGTATGAATTCAACTCTCTTAGGGAAAGCTTGATGTTTGCTTTCTAAGTTTGGTTTTTCAACCTGCTATTTGGTTAGATATTCATCAACTGCATTTGGATTGAAGACTCCGTTTGAGGTATGGTTTGGTTGCACTGTTGACTTTGTTTTGAGATTTGATTGTTCTGTTTGTGCTCCATGTGAATGATGGTAAGCTTGAGAGAATGACAAAAAGTTCGGTGATCAAGTTGGTTGTCGTTTAGAAGTTTAGGCCTCGCTTGGACTTATTTGGTGTTGCAAATTGGAATTAGCCATACAAGGTTTTGGAGGAGATAGCGGAGGAATTTCACTATTTAAGCTTGGTTTAATTTTTGTCAAGGTGGAGATTGTTAGGCTTGTGGCTTAAATTAAACTCATAAGCATTGTTTTATTTTTGGTTTGGGCCAGGCCCATATCCTTCCCTATGAGCAAGCCTTGTCGACAATTACCTAAGCATATATATTGATATATGCATGTGGTTTAGCAGCGGTAGCCGCATAAGTGAGATTTTATCTCTTTTGTCATTCCTATTGATACACAGTTTTCTCTTTTATTTTGGTGTAAGAATATTTGGTTATAGAATTATTCTTTGACAGTTAGAGTTCTTATTTTTGGGTTGAGATATTTTGGGTGTATTCGGGATTTGGGTTGTGAGAGATTTTTGATAGGTTTTTGTAATCTTCTTTGGTTATAGTGGAATTTTTTCGCCATTTTCGTTCATGGACGTAGGCCAAAAGCTGAACCACATTAAATCCTTATGTCTTTTAGATTTTTCTGTTATTAATATTTTGTCTTGAACCTGCTTAATTTGACGTTTCGGCACAATAAAAATTTGAAAACAATTTTTCTTAAATACAAAAAAAATTTAAAGATCCATAATAGAAGATAAAAAGAAAGGCGAGAAAAACAACAGAGTTGTAGCAAAGGAAGAATATGACTTATTACTTTCCTATTTATGATTATAACGTGCAAATTATGAGTTATTAGAAAGTTCTTTCTATCGTCATCTTAAGTCGTTCACAATGTGATTTATTGCGCAATTTGAAGTGAAGAGGATGCAAAGAAGTCAATTAAATCAGTTTCATTCAAGGACTGAAACGCAAATATTCCTAATATGTGTGTCTGCGTGAAGTAAAATGTGGTTAATTTTAACAAAATCAACTTGATTATAACTATATGAAATTGCATTATGGCGTACATGGTTTACTTAATCAAAATACGTACAGCCATTTTATGTACCTTATGATAACAAGTATCATATTGCAAAATGGGTTGGGGACCAAAATAATGATAATTAATGTGAAATCAATCTACATAATTAACGAATCCAGCGAAAAACAAAAGAATTAGTAAAGCGTAAAGTCAAGGAATTAAAGCTGGTTATAAACAGTTTTTGTTGATCAACTTCGTTTTTTCCCTACAGATCAGAATGTGAAAGCACTCACTTGTGGATGTAAAGATGTCTGAAATGATCAGACGGTCGAGAAAAAATTCATCCACTACTAAAAGTGTGTACTGATAAGCATCGTTTGAATGGGCCCCCATCTCTTTGTGCTTATTTGTTAATTGTTAGTACCGGTTTTAGTCTTTTAACACTTTATAAGACAATATGAATATTACAGAAACATAAAATAAAAGAACATGAGAGAAATGATATCGCGGTTCGGTAACATCCTACTCTGCGGGGCCACGCCCAGATGATGAACAATCCACTAAGAACTCTTTTACAATTCAATTAGACTTAATCTACCTGAGACTCCCTCTCTAAGAAGACGCCTATGAACTTGCAATTTCCTACTGAACTTGAACAGCGAGATCCCTTCGACTTTTAACATTGGAATCCTCCAACTAAGTTTTTCTCTCGAAAAACACTCAAATCATCTCTCTCAATACAAGTGCTCACCCATGTCTCACAACCCAACAAAAACTCATCAAGAGATGTACAAAGACTTAAGGGACACTTTCAATAAATAAGTAAGCTGTGAATAGCTTGACACATCTTCAATTAATTCGTTGAACCACATCTGTTGCAGATCCTTATTGCAACAAAACTGCAACATAGCTGTCACGGTCAATTTTTTCAAAACCATACGAATCAATCTTCTTTCATTGTGAAATCTTCCCAAAACTGATAAACGAACATGGACACGTTCTTAGGCAACATAGAAAGATCATTCAGCTATAAAATCTCAATCAAGAATCAATCAAATCAATTTTTCATCTTTGAATCAATAGTTGACTTAGAAAAATAGAAACTAAAACAAGTTTTTGGATTTTTTGAAACTTGCCAAAAGAAACTTGCCAGCTACATAGACATTTCTAAACGCAATCATCCCAGCAAAACATTTCCAAAATAATGCCAATCAAATCCGATTACAATAAATACACAAATTTAGAAATAAATCCCAACACTAATCATATTGTGGAAGTAAGTTTGGAAAGAGATTATCAAACTAAGAAAGTTGGCTTTACATGTTTTTGGACTTCTATGGGCTACGCTTATAGCTGCCTGCAAAGTCATAGAACTATAGATTCCTGCTAAGATAGGTTGTAACATAAGAGAATTAGCTGACTTGTGATTTGCTTTAATGGAAGACTTTGAGGATTTGAATGATTGTAACAAAACCGCAACTTGTACAATAAGCTACCTGGACCGACAGTGTACGTTTCTAAACATTAGATTGTTAGGATTGTAATTAAGAAATTACTCTATAAAAATTAATAGAAAGAATTTTTCACTCGTTATATATCTCATTAAAAAAAGTTCAACTCAACTATGATAACGGAAAGAATCCTAGTTTTGATTTGACTTTAACAGAAAAAAAAAATAACTACATAGGTTATCGTATGATTCAAGTTTGCAAATATGTCTGCAGATTTCCGAGGGATGATGGTTTTCAGTTGAAATTCAGTACATATAGAGGTTTGAGTGGGGTTGGTAAAAGAATAGAAGTCTAAGGTTGGCCCAGAACCATTGCAGATGAGTTTTATAGAATTTGTTGTTTTTTCTCTAATCTGTTAATTAATTATTTAACACTAGAGAAAATGTAGAAATGACGACTCAATTATGAAAGATGGTTTTTAAAAAAAACCATCGTTTATAGTTACGCTAACCGTCGTCGTATCTTTTTTAACCATCTTTGAATCATCTATTTGTACTAGTGATTATTTAATTATGTTTTTAATCAATCAATTAATTAATTAATTATCTATTTATTTTCCCTAGTTAAGAAGTGGACTGATCTGTGTATATATATATATATATGGAATATTGACTTGGAAATCTTTTTAGTTAAGACACTAAATTGGGAAATGGAGACCAACATCATTGGTATCCAGAAATACCTTTCAGCAATACATTAATAAATTTCTACTTATAACTTATATACAATAATTCAGAAAATTTTTACTTTTGCTAATTTCTCCGTTTAAATAAAGACTTTTGACTGAGGGTCTTTATTTATTTATTTTTGAATATAAACTTTTGGCTAAAATTTTGAGTTGTGATCAACTCAATCTACATGTCTAATTAATAGTTTTAAAATTGGCCAACATTATTATTTCCACAAGTGCTTACGACAATCCGATATTTTCACGGTACCAAAAATTCTATCGTCAACATTTTAGACAAGAACATAAGACGTGTTCCTACATGGGAAAGCATAGAAAAGTAAGAACTTCAAAATAAAGTTGACTTTCTTGTGAGTAAGAGAGAGAGTTAAATAAAGAGTTACAAGACACTGTATTTTCTCTCTTAAAAAGATAGAAAAAACTATAACACGCTTAATAAAATCAAGACAAGGAAGAGAAAACTATACCTCAATCTTACATAAACAAAAATTTAAAAAACTAAAGAACTCTAATGTACAAACACAACCACCATTATCATGTATGCAGATTAACCTTTTCTTTTTCCTTTAGTACCTTGGCTTGATTACTAATTTCCTTTACTGCTCGTTTTGGGCGAGTATAAACCACTCCCAAGAGTTCTATACAAAGCGGTGTCGGAATAGACGGCGTTGGACCTCAATGACCTAATCCTATGTTTATGCCTATGGCCTTTTCTGCTCCGGCGGTAGCCCTTTCCTTTCGTGTCGGTCTCTTTTCCTTTGTGTTTTCCATTCGGCACGGCCGCGTAACATTCATTTCCACTCACATTTTCTTGCCCTTTCCCTTCGTCATGTGGAACGACGTAAACAAAGGGAATGGAGATGTCATGAGTCACGTCCAAAAGTGGCTCCAAGGTCTTGATAACAAAGCTCATTGTGGGCCGACACTTGGGGTGTTGACTAAGGCAATGATATGCCAATGTGGCCGCTTTCCTAGCCCCTTCGCTAGAGTACTGTCCCTCAAGTCTTGGGTCCATTATTCGGTCAACCTTGTGGGCATCCTTCAGAAAAGGTTTGGCCCAATCCACCAAATTTTGTTCTCTGTTCGGCCGGGTCTTGTCCAAGCATCGCCTACCAGTAAGTAGCTCCAAAAGAACCACCCCAAAACTGAACACGTCGCTCATAGTCGTCACGTGACCTGAAAATAATAATACAGTACAGTTTGAGTACGCTTTTGATAGATAATAATACAGTTTGAGTACTAGTAGTTTACACTTTGAGCACTTTGGTGTGTCACACATTTTCTGTAGGTTAAAACATTTCCATTCAAATTTTTGAAAGAAAATGGAGCTGACAGTGAGGTTTCAACTTAAAATGAGTAGGTTTTCCTATAATTTCTCTAATTATCCATTATTTTTAATAAATTTAGAAGTAAAAAATTGACACGCATATAAAGTTGTGTAGGTATCAATGTAATAATGATTTATTAGTTGTGAATGTGTAATAATTCATAGCATAGTTCCAAGTTAATCTTTCTATAACTTATCCAAAAAAAGAAAAAAAAAAAACTAGGGTGTGTTTGGAACTCGTTTTAAAATGATTTTATTTTTTGTATAAAAATGGAAATGAAAACTTTTTCAATCTTAGACAGAAATCATTTTTAAAAATGTGTTTGGTAGTTTTATCAATATATTATTTTCAATATAAAAAAACTCATTAATGTCTTTCTCTTTGTTTGAGAAAGGAGAAAATGAAATCAAAAAATGAAAAACGACTAAAAATCATTTTTCATTTTTATTTTATTTTATACTAAACCAAAAAAATCGTTTTCATTTTTATTTTTTATCTTTAATTATGTCAACTGCCATTTTAAAATTATTTTCATTTTTTTCTTTCTTAAGAAATGTAAAAAATAAAAATAAAAATAATTCCAAACACGAGATTTTTTTTTTTTTTTTGTTTATGCTTACCTGTCATGATGTACTCAGGAGCTGCATACCCTTGAGTGCCCATGACGCGCGTTGTGACGTGTGATTCATCTCCTTCTGGACCGTCTATTGCCAGGCCAAAATCAGAAAGCTTTGAGGTAAAATCCTGCAGTAAAAGGAAAAAAAAGAAAATAAAATTAATTCAGTTAGATATATGGTTGATAAAAACTGTTTATATTCTCTTCCATATATACGTGCATGAAAAGGAAAAAAAAGAATTCACCGCAGACGAAGACAAGAGGATATTGTTATTAATTACCGAATTTAGTAAGATATTTGAAGCTTTGAAATCTCGGTATATGACTGGCTTGTCTTCCTCATGCAGGAAAGTGAGTCCTTTTGCAGCTCCAACTGCTATTTGTAATCTTCTTAACCATGGCAACGTCGCCGAATAGCCTGTACATACATAATATTGTATATAAGCTGCAGGTCAATATATCTATATACGTATATATTAGTACGAAAATTAAGCATAGAAAAGGATTTTGATAACAACCCAAGTTCAGAAACATTACATTCTGCATATATCATATGAAAAAAAGTGTATCATAATTATATATGCAAAATATTTATGGTTATGTTTACTTTCGAATAGTCGGTTGTCTAAGTTGCCACGTGGCATGAATTCATACACAAGAAGCCTGTGTTCATCTTCGCAGCAATATCCAATCAAGTTCACTAGATGAGGGTGCTTCAATTGCCCAAGAAAAATCACTTCAGCCTGCGGTAAAATTATATATAAAACCGCTTCAAATGTCATCACAAAAACTTTTCTTATCACTCGGTGTATAAGAGGAAAAAAAGAAGAAGAAGAAGAAGAAAATAATGTGGCCATAATTATAAGTTAAAAAAAAAGAAACTTACCAGCCACTCTCTATGACCTTGTTTGCCATCCAAATCCAAAACCTTAACTGCCACAGATTGAGCTTCTAAACCAGGCCTCAGTTTGTCGTCAATGAAGCCTTTATATACTTGTCCAAAGCCACCTTCTCCGAGAAAGTTACTCTTGGAGAAGTCTTGTGTGATATTCTTGAGCTCCTTAAGTGTAAAAATATGAAGATTTGATCCAATAAGCGAATTCGACAGATCACTCATTAGTGACACCGACGAGTTGCTCAAATCGGAAATCGATAATCTCCGGGAACTTATTTGCTTGGAAACTGCAGGAAATCTGGCTTCTGAGGATGGATTATTCTTAGGCTTCAGACATGAAGGTATAAAGAAGGATTTGATCTTTTTGAAAGACATTTTTTTTTTCTCTTTTTTCTTTTTCTTTTTTAACAGCTTTTGGCTTTTAGTTTAGATTAGAAAAGGATGAATCAATTGTGAGCGTACAATGTAAGGGAGGGGGATCAATTTAATGGAGTGGAAATTGGTTTTGAGTTTGGATGACTTGACAAAGAAGTCAATGACCCAAATGATAACCGAGGCTACTTTTTTCATTTATATTTTTCTTAACATTATTTCCCAATACAAGATTCATATATAGATCTTCTTTCTTAAGAAATAAATCCTTTAGCTCTAGATCAAGAAAACAGTCCTGAGTCTAACGTTTGGAAATTTAAATAATATATATATCCAATATGACTTTGAATGTTGACAAGCGGAAAAGTATGAAAACTTTTTGGTATATATACAACTAGGTCTTTAATGGGTTTGTTTTTATCTATATTTTGATGTCATGTGACAAAATGAAGTTTTTTTTTTTGTAACTTCAGTTGTTTGAACTTTCTGAGACCTCCGGCAAAAGGGAATTTTGCCGTTTTTTTCGTCCTTTTTAATGTCCATTTTTAGTGTTCAGATTACTAAAGGTATATGTATTAAGATGGTATATTTGTGAAAAAAAAAGGATTAGAAATTAAATTCGGTAACTTCAGTTGTGTCGAACTTTCTGAGACCTCAGGCAAAAGGAAATTTTGCTGTTATTTTCTCTTTTTGGTGTCCTTTTTGACTGTTATTATGTCTTAAGATGGTAAATTTGTGAAGAAAAGGATTAGAAATTAAAAACATGATGTCACATAGATTAGAAATATTGGTGATGTCATGTTGAAGGAAAAATTAGTTAATCCAACACAACATATGAAAAAAAAAAAAAAATATATATATATATATATATATAGAAACTTCATGATGTAGTGAGATAAGAATCAAATCTCATTAATTACTATTCATTTTTCAGTCAACTATCTAATTTATTACAACAGTTTAATTAATATTACACGGCTAAAACAATAATACACGCCAATCGGTAAATGTTTAAGTAACTATTAAAACCACGCAGGAGAGAGTGTGTGTTTGTAAACATTTTTATTTTGGAAGTAACAAAGATAAAGGTGAATTAGCAAACAAAAACAAACTAAGATGAAAGTGAAGCATATGCAAGTGGAGTAAATTGCACTATTGCCCCAAAACTATTCAGTTTTTGCATAATTGACCTTAAATTTTTAATTTTAGCAAATTGCACTTTAAACTTTAAAATTAGTAGCAATTGAAGTCTAATAGTTAATGGTATCATCAAATCAACAATTCGATATATGAGATTTGCACATGATATTGTTTGAAAAGTGGTTGTCTTTATCTTTCATATGGGAATTGCGCGTTTTAAACCGTTAATTTGATAACATTAATTACCTAATCGGGTCACAATTGCTACTAATTCTTAAATTCAGAGTGTAGTTTGTCAAAATTAAAAGTTCAAAATATATTGTAAAAAAAACTAATAGTTTAGAATGCAACGGTGCAATTTATCCTTATCTTTTTGTAGTAATTCCTATATTCTTCTCTTTTTTCTTGAAGAGCTATGTTCTTTGGAAGTAACTAAAATAAACCTAATATTTCTTTTATAAAATCACAACAAAATTGTAATGACTGAGAAAATTTCAGACCTTAAATAATACAATTCATGTATTTTTAAGCCAAGGATTTTCTTAGAAAATATTATGTTATATTGTGAATGGAGGATTTATGGAATTAATATATGTATTCCTAAATTCTATAGCAAATTTCATGTTAAGTTCATGTTTCGATCAAGTAAATTCGATCGATAAATTCTCGCCGTATTTTAAGGCGGAATAATTTTCAGTACAAGTATAGTTTAAGAATCTTAATTTCAAGAATCTCCAAGCACAGCACGATGTTAGCGGCGTATTAAAAAAATGCACTGACATTTTAAAAGAAGAAAAAAAAATCCTTAATTGCCAGACAGTTAGGTTAAAGTCGCAAGATAAATACCTATAGTAGATGGGTACAATATGAGCTCGGGAGTTGACACTGTCAGAAACGTCATTCTCGGGATAGAATGCAGAAAAGTAAAATTTAGAATTTGTTCAGTCTAAAATTAATTTCAAGACTTGAAACAGTTTGAAATATTACGCGAGTAAGAATATAAAACAATATTGAATTATTCAGAAATTAATATTGGACTGTAAGTAGTAGATTAACTTACGTGAGCTAAACTAATTACCTCTAATCAGTACAAATTTAATCTGTTTAGAGGAAATAATTGAGGATAAGATCAGGCACGTAATCTTGCCTTAATCAGACACTTTATATAGTGAAATTTTTAGGGTTCTATCATTTTCTCTCTCTTGCTTCCGTTCACACTCTCTCTCTCCTCTCACGTTCTCTCACAAAAAAAAACCATCAATGGCCAAATACCCAAGTTCAGATTCCAACCTCTATTTTTGACACCGCCGGTGTCAATAGAAAGATCTCGACGAGCTGAGTTCAACGACATGCGGCACGACCTCCAACGAGACGAAGAAAACCCATCCATTTTCACAGCTCGATTCTGGCCGGAGCACCGCCGTCCATGGTGGTCGGAATCGCCGCCGCCGCCGCCTTTGTTTCTCTCTCTCCAGGCCGTCGTGGATGTCACCACCCCCACCAATCGACTCAGAAGCCGACGCCCAGTAGATCCCGACCAGCAGCCACCGTCGCTGTCACAGTTTGGCCAGAAAACGGAGCCACTACCATCGTCCGTGGAGGGAAGAGGTGGTTCCGACGATCTAACCGTTGGATCGTAGTGAATTTGGTGTCACAACACTCAGAAGGAAACGGGTAAGAAAACCCCTCATCCAATTTTAAGAATTAATGGCCGGAATTGTGAGATTTGAGTCGTCGGATTTTACCGACGTTGCCGGTCCCGATAGGCACTGTTACAGGCCGAATGGTGTGAAATTGACCGCACCAATGGACTCAGAAGGGTCAAGTTATGGGGGGTAGG